GGTCCAAACATGCGCTTTCCCAGTTGAATGTTATTGTAATCTATATACAACCAACTGTATTGTATGACATTATAGGGAAAGAGCAACTTGGTCTACATTTTCCAGCTACTCGAATCCTATCGCGATCAGCATACGTTTGTTCGTTGTAGAGTGCAAGACGTGTCTGGAGAGCATGTGGATCTAGCTCAGTTGCGAGATACGACATCAAGTCAACATTTCTAAAAAATATTTTTGATGTGCAACTGTGTCTATTTGATACGACATAAACTTGACTGTACTTCGACACCAATGGGTCGTGCTCGATTAGCCAAGTGCTAGCCTCACTTGTCATCTCTAGACGAGATCGCAGCACTTGTGCACGCGCTTCTTGCAGTGTGACACCTCTGTTTTCAGTAAAGAAGTTCGAAGAGATGCCTGTCTTAAAATAGATGAATTGGACCGCGAAAAATCAAATCTGTGGCATCGCACTTTCTCACAGATGTTTCTCAAGGGAACAACCCAACCCTGCCGGTTGTACGGTTTGACGATTTTCTTCCCTTCATCAACGAGAAACACGTCCGTATAGCAATTTTTCCATTTGTCATCATATCTTAAAGAAGTATTATGAACACAGCACCCCTCATGTATGATGAGAATTTATCGACTAACTGAGGTTGGTAAAGCAGATTTTGTACTAGTTCTGGATCCCCTCTACACTGTGCAACAAGTTGCCGCATTCTCGCATCTGACACCGATACTTAAGATAGATGGTTCGCAAACTAAATATAAGCAGTACTTCAAAATCAAATATAAGATCAACCTGGTGCTTGGTCCACAGCGTCGCTGAGATCCTAAGATTGGCAAAGGTTAAAAAAAACGAATCTGTTTATAGACTATTAATAAATCAAGCGCAGCCTCATCACATATATTTGAAGACAATCAAAATTATGAAGATAAACACCTCGTTAGTATCCAGGATGTGAGCAGCATGCAGCGAGAAGACTCCTGGAGACCGTTCGCCAGCGTTCTGATGATACAAAGAACATTATTAGAAAGAAAGATAAATCATCTGAAAGGCCCCTTTACCTTAGCACGCATTTCTCTAGCTAGTTTTTCTTTTGTGCAAAGGATTAGTTTTGGGTGGACATCAATTGCTGTACGAGCAGCGAAAAGCCTCATTCTTGTTTCCTGGTAAGAGTAATACTATGCCAAAACGTTGCGAAATGAGCAAATACCTTGAACTGACGCTGAGTTTCATTCAGAAGAATTGTGTTTTTTGAGTCGTTGTAGAAGGAAGAAATTAGTTGCGAGAAATTCTAGAAAGGCGGAAATCCGAAGCGATGATTTCTTGTTATCGAATTAATACCTTTTTGCTTTTGGAGCGTGTAGCAATCGGCGCTCCTCTAGGAACTTCAATATCGCTATCTGTTGAACGAGATCTTTTAAGTCTGAAGTAGAAAGAGAAATCTCAATAAGTGGTTAAAGAAAATTTCTTAACAATCTGACTGTATGTATACACAAATATCTACTCTTCTTGATGTTTTTCCTTGAGAAAAAAATTAAAAACGTTTTCTCTTTACAAAATTGATAAACAAACGCCACTAGGTATATGCATGATTTTCCTTCCTAACTTATAGGCGATACGATATCTTATCTTGTTCTTTTTCCTTTGCTCAACACATTTCAATAAATGCTATGTTATAAAAGTTTGAAACTATGTATTTGCCACCCACTTTGCAAAGCAATTTTAGAAGAAAACTCCCTTTTTTGATAATAGTCACATATCTGCGCGAAAAGCTCCAATAATCGTAAGAATGCTTATACCCCCAAGAACAAGATTTAATTTTAAAAAGTTGTCGGAAATATTTCTGGGAGAATAAGAGGTCATTAGTTAATTGAGGCCGTTCGCCCATATCCAAGTAATATTCTCTACTTGACCATCTGCAAGTTTACACTGAACATTCCGCCGTTCCGCTCTTAGAAGACTGCCGGTCTTTCGATAGGGCCGCTTACCACGCCGTAC